TTTTTGTGTTTTTAAATTTTTGTTCCTGGGGAAGAAAAAAATTTTTTTTTTTTTTTTTTTTTTTTCTTAGGAGCCCTTCTGGTATTTAAAATAGGTTACAATGAATAAAATATGTAAACTTGATTTTTTCTTTTTTTTTTTTTCTTCCTGTAGGCTACCTCAAATGTAGACATTCTTGTATATGAAAGAGATGGGTGAGCTGTGAAATCAAATTTCATTTTGATGGGTGGTTATTTTCTGAAAGGAAGTTGAAATGAGAGGAGTTCAAACCTAAACTGTTAGAGGTCATCAGTTTTGCAGCCCTTTAATGGGGTATGTAAAGTGAGCTGATACTTGCCTGGTATTTTTTACAGTGAGAGGTAAATAATCAGACCCCAAGGTTAGTAGAGGGCACTGGCTTACTTTATTTTTTCTGCAGAAGCAGGCCTGGAGCGCAAGTGAGTGAAGATGTTACCATGCTTCAAACTTAAGTAATAGCTTGAGCTTCAATTTGACAGGATGCTAGCTAGAAAAACAGGGTCAAGACCTGGCAGAGAAGGGAGAGTGCGTGTGTTTGTTTGCTCATGTGTCCATGCACCCAGTACTCTTAGTCTGTTTTTTAGAACGAGCAATTTGTTTGCCCAGTGCATAAGTTTTAAAAAATGTACTTATTTTGCAAAAGGAAATTAATGCATGCAATAAGACTGCTGTTCCTGGACTGAGTTTTGATAGCTCAGTGTCTCAGACTCCTGCAACGTGCCCGATTTCTCTCTTTAGAAAGTTTAGAAGATTGAACATTGCTAAATTAGCTTATTAAAAAAAAAGGGAGGTGGTAATTTATATCTGAGTGCATGAAAAGTAGAACTGCTAAAACTGTCTACATAACTGCTTCTGGAAATTACTTCTTCACTTGCCAGAATGTGACTTGTGCCATTTTTTTAATTGCATGTAAAATGTGTTTTACTATCATAAGCATATATTTGACCATGAACAGCAAGCTGTGTCTAAACTGTTTGCTGTCCTCTGGGGTGGGAGGTGGGGTCAGGCTACTGGTATCAGTGGATTCATGATTCAAGGCTTCACTCTGCAAGGGTGGAATGAAAAAAATCGTGGTGGTAAAAATGGAGTATGTCTGATACATCAGGTTTTTTTAGAGATACTCTTTTGAACATTGACTCTTGGTTTACTGTGTTAAGAATGAGAAAGGTTTAGGTATTGCTATTTGAGGAGGAAAAAATAACATTGTAGAAAGATAATATTTTTGGAAATTAATCTGAACTCAAGGGCTTAAGCAGAGTTGTTTCCAGTGCAGCGCCCACATTTAACTTGATAAGTTGAATCCTGTCTATTCTAGAAAGAGTCTATGTAAGTTAAAATATGCAAGTTCTGGAAATATTTTTAGATGACCTTGTAGCATATCACTCAGGTAAATAACCTGTTACTTTGACCTTCCTCCCCACCCCCTTTCCTCTACCAAGTTGACGAGCTTATCGGGCATTTTCCTCCAAGTATGCACTGGAGAAACATGACATTAAAAATTCAAACAAAACATTGCAGGTGGATGAGCTGCTGTTCGTACTATGACTAAGCGTGTTTGTTGTTAAAATGATTTTAGTGTTCTTTGGGAACAATCGTGTCTTCTGTAGTGGTTTGACCTAGTTCCCAAATGCTGATTTAATTGGAGAAAAATTATTGTATGTCTGTTACGTATTGGTAAAAATGCACCTATTTAGCTGGAGACCTGTGTGAGAGGTATTACAGATCTCTTCCACATTCCTTACCCACTGTTTTAAAAACTTCCCTCCTGACATTCCTTACCGTAAGTTCACATTTAATATTCCCTTTATTTTGTTTATATATAAATGAAGATAAATGGTGCTCTGAAACCTTAAGTTCCGTTAAAGTCCAACAAGTGTTACTAGCTGTGATGAACCCAGGGGCTCTGCTTCTTCAGCAGACATACTGTGGACCTTAAATCTGTGCATCATACACTGTAGGTTTTTATGGGTGTTGCATATGGAATATGTCCATGCATGCATGCCTATGGAAGGTCACTCACCTTTGTTTTTTTCCTTAAAGAATGTGTTTCTGGAATGAATAATTCCTAACGGAAGCATCTTATATGGGTATTTTACACCTACAGTCTACATATAAATAACATATAAGTAACTTAGTGGCTGGGTCTTCACCTAGAGTTCTATTTCAAAGTCTAAAGCGATATTTTTCCCCCCCTCACAAAACTCCTAAACTGTGTTAAACATTAGTGTACAGTTATTTTATCTGTTAAAAAGCTCTTGAATTTTCATGCTGGCAATCAGAGACAAAAGTTGGAGCTCTAGACATGCTTTATTACTGGAAGTGTGTTTTTTGGGTTTTGACATATCTTCTGTTGCATTTTGGTTTCAGCTCAAGCTTGTGCAGATGTTCTGGCATTAGCCAAAGAAGCTAGAAAGCGAAATCTTGGTCCTCTTCATCCTTCCTTTAATGTGATAAAGATAATAAGAGATGGACTGATGAGAAATCTTCCAGAAAACACTCACCAGTTGTCATCGGGCAGACTGTGTATTTCGCTAACCAGAGTATCAGATGGTAAAAATGCATTGATATCTAATTTTAACTCTAAAGAAGAAGTTGTTCAGGTATGTTTATTTTTGGCAACTTTTAAAAGTTTCTGTAATCTTAAGTCTGTTTAATGTCATCCATTGGATTTCCATTTTAAACATTTTAGGATATTGTGACTTTGACAGTATTTTAAAGATGAATTAAAGCTTCATTACACTAAATTCACTTACTAGTTTTCCCAGTCAATGTATCAGCAAACTGTTTTAGTGAGTAGATGTGAGGAATCAGTCTTAAAAAGGATAAATGCCCTTAAAGTGCATTGTATCTAATGAAACTATATTCTTCATGAATAAGATTATTTTTTTAAGGTCATTCTTATAAAAGCAGTGATCAAGAAACAGTCAAAAATAGCTTTTTAAAATTCTTCGGTTACAAATTTTTTAAGTTTAAATTTAAATTTAAAATTTTTTAAATTCTTCAGTTACAAAGCTAGTTTATATGATCCCAGAATGTTGGTATTTGTGTCCCCAGTTAGTTACTTTGATTACTCAGAAAATGTATAGCTTGAGTGAATGATCATAAAGTTTTCCTTGCTAATTAGCATTTCCAGAGATGGTCTTTTAGTGAGTCTTATAATTTTTTTTAGATTGGGTGTGGTTACATTCTAAAAAAGAAATGTGGAATACCCTCATCCTGTTTAAAATAATGCTTGATAATACTCTTCACTCCCCCCCCCTTCTTTTTTTTCAAGTGTACTTGCTAGGGATTTTTTTGGTTGTTTGCTCAGTTGTTTTTGCTAACATCTAAAGAGATAAAGATAAATGATAATTTCAATAATAGAATAGTTACCATTTAATTTATATGGTCTAATTTTCTTACAGGCTTTAATCTGTAGTTCATTTGTCCCTATTTATTGTGGCCTAATTCCACCGTCATTTAGAGGTGTGGTAAGTCTCTATTGTTGTGATCTAAAAGTAGTTCTAGCTATTCTGAAAGTATTAAGAGACAATGTATATGTGTTTTTGGTTATCCTACTGTAAAATAAATACCTTTATTGTAGTGTCTAGTACTGTAGCTGTATGTTACAACTTTTCAAAAAAGCAAGGAAACACTAAATGTGTGGAAGGTCTGTTATGTGTATTTCTTCGCTGCCGTGCAAAACGCACACATGCTCGCTCTCTCTTAAATTTCTTGCTTGCTGATGCAGTAATTAAAAGAGGGTATTCTAAGCTAGCAAGTATTTAACTTAAGGATAAATATTTCTTGAAGAAAGTGATGCTCATTCACCTGCACAAATTTATAGGAAGGGTCACTTATACTTGTTTGTTTAAGAAAAAATAATCTTGTAAGGTAGCTTATTGTATATCTTTGTGTTCTTGCTGTAGGTAGATCTGCCTTAAAACTGGGTTAAAGTTCCATGTTCAGTTAGGTATAAACAAAGCTTTTTAATGTCTTCTGTCCTTTGTATTCAGTGTAAGAAAGGTTGCTTTTTAAAGGTGAAGTGTCAGTATATTAGTCTGTTCTGTTACTTCACAGGAACTGTTGGTTACAAAACCTCTTAATACTTCATGGCTATACTGGGTTTTCTAAAATCGCCCATTAAAGGGGCAACAGCTGCAGAAAAGTTGGTATATTTTGTTGTAGGTGTTTTGATTAATAGATCTGGAAGCAGACAAGCATTTCAAATCAAGGCAGTGACATTCATGGCTTTTTGTTATAGTGTTGTATTAACTTGCATTTGCTTTCCTTCCAACTTTGGTGCTCCTTACACAAGGAGAGGGGAAGAATATTGAAAGAAAACTCAAAACATCTTTAACAGTGGTTGATTACAGCCTGTTCTCAAGGCAATTTGGAAGTGCTAAAAGGTCAAGGATAGACATGAAATGTATTTTCTTCTTCATGCTGAAATTTAAGCAAAAGTGATTAGAGCTGTATAGGGATTTTTCTTTATCTGTACTTCTAAACCTTGTGTGTCTCCTTAAACTCTTCCAGATTAAAGGTGTTATGAAAACAGGACGTTGGACTGAATCCAAGGTTTAGGTGGATCCAGGCTAATCTGGCTATTCAGTTCTTGTCACCAGACAACAATGTTATTTTAAAAGGCTTAGTTCAGAGTACAAAAACATACAAATGATGCTTTATTTGGTCTGATATTGAGGGAAGGGGAAGGAAGGAATCATTGTATCCTTTTGATCTTTGCAATTATTTTGATATGATTTTAATGCTCAGGAGGCATTTTTGATGTAACTTGGTAAGAATACCCCAGTTGCATATGCTTGGCATGACTCCTGTAGGGCTTAAAAGCAGTAGAATGTCAAGTATGGAAACTTTGTAGCATCTTGCTGTTTACTGGCTTGGTGCTTCATGAATGTAGGCTTTAAAACAAAGACTTAAGGATAACTTTCAATAGGTATATCTAACTGCCAGTTGTGAAGGTTTTGGGTGTGGTGGGTTTTGTTTGGATTTTTTTAGCCCTTTCAAACACAGCAGTGGTTTTAGATTAAAAAATTACCAGGGGGAACAGATAGGCAGAAACTCCAAATAATTAAAACCATTCACGTCTGTAGAACAGTGACTCAGATGCATACTTCCAGCTTCTAATAATTTCATGAGGAGGCTGCATGCTATGGTTCCTCCTTTGCCAAACCTGTTGTATTGTGCTTGATACTTCCACAGAGGACTTGGTGATTGCACGTGTACTTTAGTGATTGCATTATGCACCTATAGGAAGTTTGTCAATAGCTGCATGCTGCCGGGTCTAAAGAGCGTCCAAGAAAGTTGACAGGTAGGAACAGGCTGCTCTAGAAGAATATGTTGGAATGTTTTTTTTAACTGGCATTAGAGGACGAAGCATGCTATTCAAAGCGTTTAGCCTGGGACCATAGGCAGAGACTGTTCTGTTACAGTCTTAAATGCTATTTAATTCTTGCATGGGAAATCTGCTAATTAGAAATTTTCAGCCTTTGAGACTTCTTATTTCTGTTAATTTTTGTAGCGCTATGTGGATGGAGGAATCAGTGACAACTTACCTCACTATGAATGTAAGAATACCATCACAGTTTCGCCTTTCGCTGGAGAGTGTGATATCTGTCCAAAGGGGAACTCTGCCAGCTTCCATGAAATGAATGTGACCAATACCAGCATTCAGCTCAGTTTGGGGAACCTTTATCGTTTAACACAAGCGCTCTTTCCACCAGAACCTAAGGTAAGACACTGCTTTCATGTAGTTACTAAAACATGTTTCCATATAAAAACCTTGCTTTTGCAGAACGCTGCAGTAGTCTTAGCATTTCATCTAGTCATATAAACTTTTCTGGTGACATTTCTCTTCTTGCTTCTATTTTTTTCATAGTTTGTCTTCATTCTCCTTATTTTTAGTCTCTCTCAGACTAAAAATGCATGCCCTGCTATTGGCTTTCAGTATTTATTTGGGAATTAGCACAGGATTCTATCATAAAATCAACACTGGTAAATTAATAACTGTCAGTTTGTAGTCCTTTCATGTTTACCTGCTAACCAGGTGCTTCAGAACTTAGAACAAGTTCTAAAGCTTCATGGTTTTCTTAAGTTCTCAGTTAATACTTCAAGCAGGCAAGTTGCCTTATAACTTTGCTACACACTGTTAATTGCAGATCTGATGAGGGAAATGCACTTGAATTGTCATTGTGGAAGCTGAAAAAATGAAAATGGACTTTGCCAATTGGCTTGGGTTATAGTACAGAGGAGAAGTAATGTTCCTGACTGCTATAGATATTTTTTTTTTTTTTTCCAAATGAGGGCTTTTTGACCACTTGAAGAAAAATGTTAAATTCTACTTATGTAGGCTTTAATTTTTTTTTTTTTTTGTCTAGGACTACTGTGTAGGTGAGCTGGTGTTGCATCTGGTGAAAGATGTTTTCATATGGAAGACTGAGTTTGAGCATGAGAATTGCACAGCTGACTTTTCGTAGTTTTGGGAAGTGGGAAGCACTGGGAGGGAAGGAGGGGAAATGGCATACTCCAAGCCACTCTGTCTCATTGTTGCTTGCATCTGCTGAAAGGCTAGTCAAAGAAACAAAAGGGGAGGAAATGCTTGCAAACTGTTAGAATGCTGTCCTTTTAGGTGAATAATTCAGTAGTAGCTGAAAGATAAGTTCATATATGCATGAACATGTATGCATCATCATGGAGGCATATTAACCTGAATCTGTTGAATTATAGCAATTGTTAATGTAAATTTTTCTCACAAGAATGGAGGGTAGATGGAAGTGGCTTTTCATTCTGCACACGGTTGATCTTAAGCTGAATCTCCTTTTATTTGTCTGACTCATTTATCCTATGTTTGCAGGTACTAGGAGAGATCTGTGAGCAAGGATATTCAGATGCTCTTAAATTCCTGAAAGAGAATGGTATGTTAACACTTGTGGATAATTACTGATGATATGGTCTTAACCTGAGGTTAAAAAAAAAAAAAAAAGGTGAGGGGGTTGTATGTAGCTAAGAAGGGGCTAGGTCTTTGAGGTTTTTGAAGGGATAGTGAGAAGTTCAGTTCTCATAGAAATCACATAGTTGTAGTAACTATTCACGTGAGGTAAGTTGTGCTGCCACACAGAAATTGAACTTTTGGGTTTTTGTCAAATCTGTGCAAAGCGAATGTTAACGTATTGTTAAGTGAAACTACCAAAGAATTCCAATTCTAGGGAAATCATATTATTTGTTTCTTTTGTGTTAATCGTGAAGGATAGGAATAGGCTATTGTCTCCTGCTCTTGTGAAACCTGTATCTTCTTACCACCTCCCCTCTGCTATCATCCAAGGGAATTTTTAGGTAAAGCCTTATAGTCCAGAACTGGAAGCTGGCTAGCAACAGTGTAAACTCAGTCACAGACAAATCCGTAGTCTGTGTCAGGAAAGATGTTAGAAGAAGACGACAACTTGTAATGTAGCAGTTGTTGGGACGCAGATAAGTTTAGGAAGAAGAATTGAAAGTTGCTCTGCTCTACTCCTAGAATTCTAGTAATGTATTTTATATTAATAAATGTTATTGCTCTGCATGTTTTGAGACAAACAAGTTAAAGACAGTCACTTAATATTAGCATGAAGTTAACCATGTATTAAATATGCCTAGCCCCTGTAGTCTTTGGATGCAGAAGCAATTTGGTACTGGGTCCTATTAGAGGAATGGAAACTGAAATGTGATGTTTACACTATTACAGATAGTACCAGCTGCAGTATTGTAATGCAGTCATAGATTGATGTGCTCACTGCTTATACTCTATTATAACTAAACATTAAATATTGAAGTTTTCTTGGAACAATTTTCTTCACTGTTAAAGAATGTCATGGTTCTACTTAAGAGTTTGATTTTCTAGTAATACTGTTAAATATTTAATGAGAGAGTCCTGCTTTATACCTTTTACCAGGTGATTAAAAGCACAGGCTAGAGCCTATAATGTGTGGTTGTCTGTGCTAAGATGGGTTCTGTTGCTGTACTGCACCCACAAGTTTCCTGTGTGCATGTGTCCATCCGACACTAATATCTGAGATTCCTTGCAGCTCTTTCTTGGTGTCTTTCCCTCACATCCTCTGTGTATTGTGCTATTGTCCTCCTTTTCACACTACTGTTCCTGCGATCATCTTTATTCTTATTCTGTCACAGGTTTGTCTTGCTTCAAGCTTAATCAGTGGTAATTATAACCTTTCCAAACTCATTCATTATGCATCTCCTTTCTTGTTAAGTTATTTCAGCTGTAGGAGTTAATTCCCCCCTCCCCATCTGTAATAACTTTTTTGCTAAATGCACTGTATATTCTTTTGACATTTGTCTTTTAGGAGTAATTGCAAGTAGGATACAGATTCTGTTGTATGTAGGTATGGATCCTAGTCAAATTTGGTAGTCTTTGTATATAAATAACTTCATAATGATTTTTTGGAAACCGAGTATAAACACTGTTCTTGTATTTTTCACTTTGTGCTCATTATCTAGAGTTTATTTCTAAGGTAATTATCAGTGTTATTTCTTAATGGGTACCAGTTTTGCAAGGCAACCAATGTTGATTTAGATCTGTGCTTTGGGTATATTGTAAAACAATATTGTACCCTACTCCACCCTGTTCTAGCAATGCCTCAAAGTACTCATGTAATACCTGTCATGTCAAATTTCCCAAATGTCTGATGTGTTTTAGGTGTTTTATTTCAAATAAATATTAAATCAGTTTTCCTGCTCTCCTTTAAATCATTTGCTTTCTTGCTGGAAAACAACTTTGGTAAATGGCTGTGTGTTTCCAGTGCAGTTTCAGTTAATTGTTCATTTTTTCCTTTTCTTTAGAACCGGTTTTAAAGTAAGACCTAAACCTGCAAAAGAGTATTCGTCAGTGTGATTAAACGTTTGTGGGATTATGAGAACAAGTGTATTTGACATTGGGTAGATAATGTTCCCTCAGGATAGGCCTTTGTACAGATGCACAGACTACAGGTACTGTACAGGTGTGCTGAAGACCTGTGGATCAAGCCTAAGAGGAAGCTCTTGACTCTTTCAGGTATTCTGAATGACTCAATTTGTATCCACTTGTCCTTCACAAAAAGAAATCCTCATGAGGCTGCACAACACATTGACCATATGAAGAAAAAAAAATTGACAGAAAATAACAGAGTAGAAACTTTGAAAATGGAAGTACGTAATGACCAGCTGAAGCAAAATCCATGGCCTTTGGAGAAGAGCATATTTGAGAGCCTACCTCCTAGGCTTCGTAAAGGTACATGCTTCAGACTGTTTGTAACTTTGAATGGCAAGCTTTGATTTATTTTTTCCCCCTGCTTACTTTTATAATTTGCGTAAGATGCTTTTTATTTAATATTATAACTGCCTGTGATATTAGAGACTAGCTCAACCCAAAAAAGTTCTTTAAATACTTACTAAATGTGAACATATACATTTTGATTTAGCTACAGAAATGATTGAAGCAGGAAGGAGACACTTTCAACACTGCAGAGTTGTGAATTGAATTCTCATTTGGTTTTGGATAAACTTTGTATGTGCACAGCATTTTTATAAGCATATATTTCACAGCAAAGTTGAACCTCAGATCCAAGCACTGGTTATCCCCATCTTATTTTTAAAACAGACTTATGTAGATTTCTAATTCTCTGGCTTTCCTGTCTTTTTAATAAGCTGTTAATAGACCAAAACTACTTTTGATATTTCTTTAATCTATAACTTTTACCTATGGTGTTTGGTGGCTTTTTTTGTTGTTGTTGTTGTGGATGCTGATTGGTGTTTTCAAGATCTGAAATTTGTGATCCCAGTGATGTAGGAGAACAAAATTTGAAGTGTGATGTTTCTTACAACTATATGTAACAACTGGAATATGCAGAACTCTAGAATTTAAGCAAACTCGGAGTTACAGAGTCTCTAACAAGACAGGAATGCTATCTAAAATACATAAGTATTTTTGGAGAGGTGAACTTTACATCCTCTTATTATAAATTAATTCTTAGACTTATTGCTTAAGAGTTCTGGGTAACGCCTTTCGTCCCTGTGGTGCGAGTCTGTGTTTCCTATGTTTTAAAATAGCATAGAGAAGGTTTATGGTAAGAGTGCCTTGAGATTAATTCTTTTGTTTTCTATCTGAGCCTTAGTCAGTAACACTTGACAATGTTGACTGAAGATTACCAAACTTTGAGCAAATTCTTTAACCTGTTTTCAAATAGTCTAACATCTTTTCCAAAACCAATTATTCTTAAGCACTGCAGGAAGCTTGTAAAGAACAGAATGGATTCTATGCTCAGTTCTCTAAACTCTTCCCAATGCGGGTGATATCCTATCTGATGCTACCGTATACACTACCAGTGGAGTCTGCTTACTCTGTTGCTTTACGGTAAGGAACTTTTAATGAACCACTTCAGAATTTTTTTAGTTTTGGAAATTTACTCATTGAGAGCTTATTCAGTGTTGTAAGCATTCCAGTACTCTAGAATTCAAGTGGTAACTGTCCAAAGCCTGTTATTTCTACCTATAATAATGCATCCTCCTAAAGCCTCTATAGTGTAAGGCTAGATAAATAAACATATTAAGACGATTCCTAAGCAGTTCACTCTTATTGCTAGTAGCTGTCTCGTAATTGCTCAAAAGAAGCACCCTTAATTGTGTTTTCCAGGAGCACATTTTTTATTACTATATACTGCAGTGGTATTTGAACTCTATCCCAATAGTTCTTGTGCTTTAGCTTCTTTCTGAAGTCAAGAGTGAAATCCATTGTTTACTTGCCATATAAATTTTCTTACCAGGTTTGTTTAGGTTGACTGCTCTTGAAACAGGGCTTAATTTTAAAAGTTTTTCAGTTCTCGTAAAGGAGAAATTATGCTAAACGAATGCACCATGAACCCAAAACTTTGTTCTTGCTTAAGAGAATTCCAGTCCTTGAGCAGCAGATGTCATTACTATCTTTAGAAAATACTTGAAAAATCAAATGTTCTGTAAATAGAACCACATAAAACTCCAGTGAAATATTTTGTTTCTGTGCCGCTCAATGTGGCACTTCTGTGCCATTTTTGATGGATGGGGAGGAAGCAAATTTCAACAGAATTTTTATGTGGGGTTTTTCCCCTCGTCTCCCTTTGGTGTAACTGACTTCTGTTAAGAGCACCATAAGGAAAAAAATACATTTGTGACATTGTTCTGTTTCTGTCTTCTATTTGTTCTTCCACTGTGTGCTTTTTTTTTTGTTCTTCCTTCCTCTTCCACCTAACTTTAAACTGACCAGAAAGTTCCTAGCACATGGAAAGAGGTCTTGGAGACAGGAGTATTTTGCAGGCTTGCTAAACATTGGTCACAGGGTGTGGAACGCACATACTGGTCAGCCACTCGGCGCAGTTCAGAGATGCAGTGGTCTGTGCTGCCCTTTTTCTTAGCTTGTAGAGACGAGATGAGTGGGTTAGATGGGAATTCGGGGAGGTTGGGAAAAACTGGAGACCTTGGTGGGGGAGTTAACACAGCTTTCATTCTCCCCAAGCTATTTTGTTGGATGTTGGACATGATACGTAAAAATATAATGTGGATTATATCTACTGCTTACAAAACAATTGTATTTTGGTTTTGGTTGTAGGTTAGTAAACTGGTTTCCTGACATGCCTGCTGATGTTCGATGGATGCAAGAACAGCTTTGTCGGATTGCTGGTACAGTTTATTCCCAGGCTAAAAGCAAGCTGTTCTGTACATCCAGGTAAAGTGGAGTGCTGCTGCATGCAAGTGATGCATCTTTAGAAATTATCTCTCTTTTGTCAGAGCCAATAGGATGCTGGGTTGCATCAAAAAGGGCATCACCAGCAGAGATGATGAAGTCATTATCCCACTCTACTCAGCGCTTGTCAGGCCACAGCTGGAATACTGTGTACAGTTCTGGTCCCCGTTATACAAAAAAGATGTGGACAGGCTGGAGGGGGTCCAGAGAAGGGCCACCAAGATGATCAAGGGTCTGAGAAGCCTGCTGTATGAGGATAGGCTGAGAGAGCTGGGTTTATTCAGCCTTGAGAAGAGGAGGCTTAGAGGTGATCTCATCACCATGTACCAGTACTTAAAGGGGAGCTGTAAAGAAGATGGAGACTCCCTTTTTACAAGGAGTCACATGGTGAGGACAAGGGGGGTACAAGTTACTGTACTGCCAGGGAAATTCCGATTGGACACGAGAGGTAAATTTTTTTGCGATGAGTCAATCATTGGAATAATCTCCCCAGGGAAGTGGTTGACTCCGCTACGCTGAACACGTTTAAGACTCAGCTGGATGTGGTGCTGGGCCATCTTGTCTAGATTGTGCTAGAAAGGTTGGACCAGGTGATCCTTGAGGTCCCTTCCAACCTGGTATTCTGTGATTCAAGTACTAATAAGTTTTTCTCTCTGAAAACGGTATTTAATATTTTTCTCAAAGGTAACATAAAACAGTTCTCACTGCTTCTGATCCTTAGCATTGTTTCTTAAGCATATTTTCTGGTGCTTCTTGTTTATAACTGATCAGTGACTGCTACATATTGTAGATGAAGAGGTGTTGCCTGTTGGTAGGCTTATGCTTTTAGGGGAGAGGGATGGGTTATGGGGCAGGCATTGGACCGAGAACAGAGACCTTGTTTCTTCTCTGCTCCACAGTAACTGGAGCAATCAGGAAGAAAAGAGGAGGGAAACGTTGCTTAAGATGTTCTAAATCAGATGTAGCAGGTAGGAACTGGAAAACATTGGGAGAAAGACTAGATTCTTAGGAGTCTGGACAGGAAAGGTTGTAAGAGTTTTAAAAAGTAGATGAATATGAAGGACAGTCCTGTAAGATAGTTGGGAAGAATTAAAATAAGACACATATGGAAAATTTTTAGGAACCTCTGTTTCCGTGGAGGAGAAACCTCTACTCTAACCTGGTTGTAACTAGGTTCATTATGCTTCTCTTACCAAGCTGGTGTGAGATTTAGCCTTTTCATACTTTTTACTTCTGTTAAACTTTGTAGTACTATGTGTATGGAGGAATCTGTGACAACTCATCTCAGTATGAATCTAAGAATACCATTACTGTTTGAGTTTTTGCTGGGGAGTGTAGTATTTGCCCAAGGAGCTCTGCAAACTTTCACAAAATGAATATGACCAATATTCAGCTTAGATTTTCGTGGTAAAAAATGGACTTGTTGCTGGAACGGAGTGTTGCACAGCCGTGTCAGAGTAGTGCTATAAGTAGAGAAACATTGGCTCTCTCGAGGTCCAATTGCTTATAAATATGAAGTGTCCTAAGATTTGGAAAAAGCATAAATCCAGACTTCAGCAGAGTAGGTCATATATATTTTACTGTAATTTTTCTGATGATTGTCTCAACTCCTGGAGGTGCTGGGTTGGAGGCAGAAGAAGGGGGAGAGACATTAGCGCAAAAAGCTATTAGGAGTGAACAGACTTCTTAAACGCTTCATAAAAGCTTCCAAGAGATAGCTGTAGCACTGGAGACTCCTAACTGCAGCAGTTATTTCAATTAAAGCATTGTCATGTTCTATATACAGCACATTTTTTAATTAAAACGAAAAATACCCTTTTATTTGAGCCAAGAGTTCTTGAGCTTTTGTCTTCCTGTTTTTAGTAATGAAGTTAGATAAGGAAGAAGATCAAAGATGCTCTTTTTTGCCCTGGCAGTGCTATACACTGGCCCCTCAGAAATGCAGGTTTGATATGTCGGAGGAGAACTGCTTGATCCTACTTCCTTATAAGAAGCTTTGCCAGGTTCTGGATTGGCACTGTGAAAGATCCGATTCATATGCTCCATCCCTTAGAAGTACAGATTAGTCAAACTTACTGTTAAAGATTCTGGCTTAATGGAAGACTTATTGAGGTTGAAGCTTGGGTTTCCTTCCCCCTTTGGAAGTATTAAATGGTGGCTTTAATATTAGGTTGTAAAGATATTTTCTTTTTATAATATTCAATTTTATCCAGAATTCAGAAGCATTTAATTCCTGTATACAAATAGCATCTCTTCTCCCTTTCTGAAATCAGTTAAAGCCTTTTCTTGTATAACACTAGTTGGCTTTTGAGGCCATCTCTCTGAGCAGAAATGTAGTTCTTGGTATATATTTGCTATCATCCTACTGTCATCTCTTCAGTTACTTGATACTGCATGTAATCCAGTGTCATTTTTTTCCTTCTTAATGATATTTCTGACTCCTGTCCATAATAAATTTGGGTATTGTCATCTTTCTGCTTTTATTTAGCAGCTTCTTGATGTTGCTCATATTCCAGCCTTACCAGTCATGAGACTCTTCATCTGAAATGAGCATTTGGAAGGTGCAATATCACAAGACTGTCTTGGATCTAACTTATCAGAGGGGTTATTTGGTCATTGAGTGAGGAGTTAATCATGATTAACCAGAAACATTGTTTCTCTTCTTGTGGAAAGAGAAGCTCTTGGCCATAAAACAGAACGTGGCGGTCATGTGGCTTTTGCTGTATGCTTCTATGGTACCTTCAGGGTGATCAGCTCCCACTGAACTGTTTACACTGTCAAACTTGTAAGTATTCTAACGCTTTCCTTCAAGTGGATTCTGTCTTCAGGTAGCTAGGTCCCAAGGCTCTGTGTGTAGAAACCTGTATTGTATGCTACAGGTGATTCTTTGTGGGCTTGTACTTTGTTTCAGCATCCACCAAGAACTTAGTGCTGCTCTTGCAGAAAGTAATCCCCTTTTTCCCCTTATGTCATCAGATCTAGCTTCTGTTTTGGAATCAGGCTTAAATCTCATGAAAATTTGCGCTGTTTACAGTTTGAAAATCCTTTTAGGAAACTTAACCTGGTGGATGGTATCTTCTAGTGCACCTAAACTTGAGGTATGGAAGCTGGTGTTGAAGTGTGTGTATGGCGAGTTGGTTTTTTTTGTGTGTGAGAGGGGGTGTTGCGGGTTGCTTTGTTTTTTTCCCAAAAGCACTGCAAGAGAGGAGAGAGAACTTCAAAGAAAAAAATGGGTATTCTTGGTGACAACTTCAGTTCCCTGTTTCTCACATTGGAAAAGACTAACCTGGTGATTCAGGTGCTGTTTTAGAGTGTAGGAAAGTTCTGTTCCAGCTGTTCAGGTTGGTGATAATTAGCTGGTTGTAAAGTGGAACGCAGAGATGGCATTTGGGAAGTTGAACAGCGATACTCGCTACTCAACTTGTCAATGTTGAGACTATTCTTGTTAATGTTCAGTTAGTGCTGTGATTGGTAAATCAGCGAATATTCCAAGTGGATAGCTGGGGGGAGATCAGGACTGTTTAAGAGGTAACGTACAAACTGGGTCGACCCTTCTGAGCTCATCAGAACAGTGTGACTTTTAGTGTAACTATTTCACAGCTCTTTCTGAGGACAACCCTTAATGGCAGAGTGCCCCTCTTTTAGATATGGTCGTTTCAAGATCCTTTTCCTGTTGTCCCATACCCTAACTCACTAAAAGCATTTAGAATTAACTATTTTCCTCTAGTGTTCTTCCTTATATGAAGATTCCCTGTCAGACATCTGAACAGTAATAGAAACGTCATTGAAACACTAACAATCTTTTTCTTTTTTCTTCTTTTAAACAGGAAAGACAATTATGCATCACTAAGAAAATGTCAAACTGTCCCATCTGCTATGGAATTTCATTCTTCATACTGCCACCTTAAAATGCCTCACTCGTCTGCGGACCTTGAAACCTGGCTCTGGGAGTCTTCATGCTTCATGCAGTCAGCTATGAAAAATGCTTCTGCTAACATGCAGGAGCATTCAGACTTAAACTCCTATCCTAATTTTCTCCCAAATTCTGATGAGTCTGGGTTGGAAATAGATTTTGACTCTTCCTCAGAGACAAGTTTCCAAACTGCTCCAGAGTATTAATTTGGAAGTAGATTCCACAGTTTCCAAAATTCCAATTTGGCAGAGAAATTTAAATCCTAAAGGACTAAAGATCACTTTGTTTATTGCCAATAAGTCTTGGAAAATTATTTGTTTACACCTTCCTGACAAATCTGCCTTGGAAATTCTGCTGTTTTAAGGATTATAGAAGCAGTGGCTGCTATACTAAGCGACAGACTACAATTCTGTCGAAGCACCAGCTCAATCAACTGTAGTAAGACTTGTAGTAAACAGTGTCTCTCTGGAAATAAATTAAAAAAAAAAAAAATCTACTTTCAGCAGAAAAATGTAAACTCTGTAAACTGATTGTTAGACAAACAAGCATCAATAACAAAAGCTTTTTAAAAATACAATTTTTAACAGTATTCTGTGTTAGGATTACTTTTATAGCACTTAAATGAAATTGGACTTTCACTTCATAAAGGGAAATACACAAATGAGCTTTTCAGTGGCCTCCAGTGTCCGTTTGCCTTATGTTTATACATACTGTTGTGTTTATGTAAAAGTTGTCTGCATGAGATACTGTAGGAACAGTATTTTTCTAGGTTGTTGTATGTATTCCACAGTTCATATTACTTCATCTATGACTGTTTCCCTCTTCAAATACTTCAAATGAAAAAGACATAAGAAATGGGACACATTCCCCTGAAGTGTAAACAGGTACAGTTTCAGTGATTTCAGAGGACTTTTTTTGTACTTAATAAAGGCTTAATACTTGACTAAGTATTGAAAAGTAGGTAAAATAGTGACTGTAATTAGTAGCAAACAGTAATTTGAGTGTGTTAAATTTTACAGAAGATGTTAACAAAAATCAACCTATAACAAGCGTTGAATGATGTTTAGGTCTTCTCTCTAATTGCTCCCCAATCATACTCTGTTTTTTCCCCTCCAACTTGAGAGATTTTTCTTCCCTTTCACTTCCCTCTTGCTAAAGGAGGGAAGAAAAAAGGGGTCCCTCCTGTCTCAGTGAGGTAGGATAACCCAAAGGAAGTTTTCCAAGACCGATTGTTAGAAGAAGCAAACATGTAAGACTCAGTGGAAGTATCAATGTCTGAGGAGCTGGGTGAAGGTCTCAAATAATGGGTTGAAAGTCAGCCAAATCGTATCTGTATTGAGTGATGAGCATTTTGAACACTTTCCACTACAAAGGTTCTGCATAATTTTAATACAACGCATTAGTGTATGAATACATCAGAAGTAAGTAACCGTTAAGATTAACTGTTCTTTTGATGTTTTGTTATCGTGTCTTGTACAATTTTTTTGTTTGTTTTAAAAGTGGAAGGAAGCAATGATGGCTTTGAAGTTGAGTTTGCGCATGTGTTTGGGGCAGACGTGTGACATTTGAAAGCTGCTCGTTGAAGAATGTGAATTCCGTGCAACTTGGGTGCAGGCCAGGGAAGAGACTGTAGATGCTTACCAGGAGTATCTTGTACAAGGAGAAGCAGTGATTAGATTGTGATGCTCAGGAGAGGGAACTTTGGTATCCAGAAGTCTGTCAAATAACAAAATGTAGCGTTCCTGAATTGGACCAGCCTTTAAGCAGTTTCTCAGCTGTGATTGCCCTAAGCTTGAAGTGCTAAATTTTACAACATTAAAATTGATTTTAGAATGGTGGGGGACAGGGGAGAAAGCGTCAAGTTGTCCATTTCTATACTAAAGAAGACTGGTGCTATTTTACTTCAACTCTTGTTGATTTCTTCTGTGTATGTATCTTCAAATTTGCAAGAAAAGTTGGAAATGTTACTCTTAACTACAATTAAAAAATACAAGATCTGTTTTATATTGTCTTTATTTATAACTTTATAAAATGAAATTGTAGAATGTTCTGAAAAATGTTAGTTTTACCTGTATGTGTTAGAATTTAAACAGCAATGCCAAGTTTTGCTTCCTTTCTGTGTATTGAATTGTACATCAACTACATTTTAAATCAACCTTAACCGCTTCTTCGGTCATGCACAGCTCCAATTTTGTCTCCTTTTTCTACAATAAAAAGACAATCTCTTCTGTTACCATGCTTTCTAAGCTTTCTTGAGTGTAATTCACCTACTGTAAGTTAAATCAGAATGCGTTAATTTGATTGAACACTTAGAAGATTTAATGGTTGCGAGGTGTCTTTAAGAGCAGTAACTTAGGTTACTACTCTGAAGTGTGAGATGCTTGTTCATGCTCCAGCTGGACCCGAAAGTCACCTTAATTTAAAACCTACTTTCTTTGCAACCCATTAGCTTACAAATATTTTTTTTTTTTTTTTGTATTTAAATAGAAACAATTCAAAACCAGAGAAAGCTGTCGCTTGGGTGTGGAGGAAGAAAACAAGCATAGTCTCCTTTCTTAGTTAAAACTCAGTAATTTAGCACCGTACAGGTACCAGCGCTACCTAACTGTTTTAAATGATTTAAACCCTTACGAAGACCAGTCTAATTTCGTGGGGTCCAGTGAGCCGTTGGCACTGTAAGTGCTGCAACGTCAGTTCATTTCCAGTTGCCTTAGACGGGAGGTGTTTACGTTTTGACCACCCGCCTCCAACCGGCGGCAGTGTCTCGGCTTCAGCCTGCTGCTGTCGGGGGACACAGGTGAAAACTGATTATTTTTTTAGGCGGTAACTTCTGCCCCAAAAAGCCCCGTTCCTGGCTGCGCACGCGCCTGCCGGGAGGAAGCATCCGGGGAGCGCAAGCTTCGCCCCGCCTCTTCCTTCTCCTCCGGCCAATGGGAGCGGGTGGGGCT